GTCTCTGCCTTAAAAAGGAAAAATGCCAAAACAATGTGCCAAGGGTCGAGTTCCTAGGGTACCTCATTGACAGTTCAGGGATTCACCCCACAAACCAAAAAATTAAAGTCACTCAGAATGTTCACACACTACGAAACCTGACCAAGCTCCAAGCGTTCCTTGGACTACTTAATTTCTACAGCATTTTCCTTAAGCAGAAAGCCACAGTTGCTGAACCGCTGCATCGACTCCTCGGGAAAAAGGCTACATGGACTTGGGGCAAGACAGGCTGCTGCATTCACCGTTAAAAAAACTTCTGTCTGCGGACACGTTCCTGGTTCAGTACAACCAGACTTTGCCACTTGTACTGACTTATGACGCCTCACCTTTCGGCGTCGGAGCCGTCCTCAGCCACCACATGCCCAACAGAACCGTGGCACCCATCGCCTACTCAAGGACTCTCTCAGTGGCCAAGAGGAACTACAGCCAACTGGACCAGGAGGCTCTGGCTGCTGTAGCTGGAGTCAAATGGTTCCACGAGTATTTATATAGCCTTGATTTCGAAATCATCACGGACCATAAACCACTTTTGGGACTACTGGCTGGGGACCGAACTACACCTGACCCATTGGGCTATTTTTTAGCTGCTTACAGTTACCACCTCATTCATAGACCGGGCACCACACTGGGGCATGCTGACGCCCTCATCCGGTGCCCCCTACCAGAACTGCTTGCTGATCTGACCCCCGAGACGCCAGTTGTGCTCTTAGACTGCCTGGAAGCTGGCCCTGTCTCCTCCAGCGAGGTCGCCCAACACTAAGCTAAAGACTGGACTCTGAAACAAGTTTTGAACTGGGTGTGGAGGGGGTGGCCCAAGGGACCGGTTGGGCCAGAGTTTACATTGTTTTATGTTATGAGGGATGAACTGTCCATTGTAAATAGTTTTTTTATTGTGGGGGCATTAGGTTGTCATTCCAGAAAAACTGCGAGTCAAAGTATTAGAGGTTTTGCATATGGGGCATCCCAGAATTGTCCAGATGAAATCACTGGCCAGGAGATACGTATGGTGGTGTAACATGGATAAGGAGATCGAGGAATGGGTGGCTACCTGCACACCATGCCAGGAGTCCAGACCAGCACCCCCCCGAGAGGCGCCCGCTAAGGAGTGGGAGAGACCTCAAGCACCATGGTCTAGGGTGCACATTGACTTTGCTGGCCCAGTTCACAGCTAGACATTCATGGTAGTTGTGGACGCATATTTGAAATGGCTAGAGGTAGTCCTAATGACCTCGACCACGGCAGAAGTGGTCATTAAGGCACTACAGAGACTTTTCTCCACATACAGCTTACCCAATGTCTTGGTCTCTGACAATGGACCTCAATTCACGGCTATGCAATTTGAGACCTTCCTAGCAGCATAGGGAACCAGGCATGCCCTGGTCGCTCCATTCTATCCAGCCAGTAATGAACAGGCAGAGAGAATGGTGCGATCTGCTAAAGAAGCTCTATCCAAGATTGGGTCGGGTGATTGGCAAACATGGGTTGGCCAATTTCTGCTAATCCAACATATAACCCCGAGTGCTACCACTGGGAGAAGCCCATCCGAGCTTCTAATGGGTCGCCCGCTAAGGTCGCACTTAGACTGGTTGCACCCAAACTACTCTGCCATAACACCCTGATTCGAGCAGCAAAATTAGACAGTTCAGCGTAGGGAATCGAGTTTACACCCACAACTACGCTGGGGGAATCACTCTGAGTTCCTGCCATGGTCACAGGTATTACTGGACTACGCTTATACCAGGTGGAGCTCGAGGACAGTTGCACTTGGAGAAGGCACATTGACCAACTCCGTAGCCGCCTCTCCAAATCCAGTCTTAGGAAACCAGAGGAAACTCCTGCACGAGTTAGCCAAAGCCCTACCAACATGGAGCACGATTTCACTCCATATACGGACACCTGAAACCCAAAGGTACCGGGGGAATTATCTGTTGAGGGTGCAGAGCCGCAGCAAGTTCCTAGCAAGCCAGCTCTAGGAACTCCAGCCGCGGCCTGTGAAACGTTCCAGGAGGTTCTGCCATGTGCAGAAGGTGAGGCAACAGGTCTGTCCAACTTGACTGAAGATCTGGTGCCAACTGAAGTGCGCAGGTCTGGTCGAGCCAACAGAAAACCTGCCTACCCGCGTGACTACGTCACAAGTTGGATGAGCCCAACTAAGAGGGGAGGGGTGTTAAGTACTTGGAGTAATCTACATGTAAATAGTCTTGTAAGTAGCTTTCACTCAGGTCCGCTGTTACCAGCAGGAACTCATTCAAATCTGATTGATCGGAGGCCCTGCCTGAGCCCTATAAAAGGGCTGTTGCTGGACAGGGTCTTTGCTGGATTCTGAGTCACTAATAAAGAGCTGTTGTTACTGAAGCCTGAGTCTGCCTCATCCATTCCCACGATCTAACATGATGGAAACAATTTATTAAACCATGATTAATTGAACTGAATTATGTGTGTACTGGATCAATGCCAGTACACTGATGTAGTATAATTTTTATATAATACTGCTTTGAGCTAATCCTCATACCTATTTAATTGTGATACAAAGATGTTCTATTAACCATTTATAAGTGATATCCTACCATGTTACCTTCATCATATCGTCAGCCCACCATTAAAGGAATTAAATTTGTTTTTAGTTGCTCCATTTTAAAAATGGTGTTTTTATTTTCTCCTAGCACAATTCTTGCCATGGATAGACAATCTACAACACATAATTAATTGTGCCAATGAAGACACAATCAAGAGACACAGAACCTGCCCAGTTTCTGTTAGGTACTTTGCTAGCATGTTTCTCTTCCCTGGTCTCCGGCTCCCTCTTCCATTTTGTTTTGTTTTGTTTCAGGAAAGCTGAGAAATTTACCAGCCAGCTCTATAAGAATGTTTGTGTGAGAGAAATGAGTATCTTTACAAATAAATTTCTTTATTTTTTGAAAGAAAATTTCTTCAAATCTGAATCCGAAGATTGATGCTAGAATGTTTTACAATCCTGGAATGGAATCATTAACAGGAACTGCTAGCCTATTGCCATCCAGTGAACAAGATTCCATATAAAAGCCCATAATGAAACTCCTTATAAAATGACAGCTCTTTGGAACTAACGGACTTTCCAAAGAAAGTACAGCATTTATTGAGAACAGAACTATTTACTCAGAGCAAGAGCTTGATGGCGCTTGGAAACTAGACTAAAGCTGTTAGTTGAGGGTCTACATCTGCTGGAACAATGCATGCTTTTCAAATCCCAATGTTTGGCAGTCTAGCTAACATAATTCAATTTTACTTGTTAGATGTTATAAACCTTTGGTTTGCTTGGTTTTTGGATTCTGCATTGTTGTTTAACCTTGACTTTACTATTTTTTTCTATATGACACCTTTTGGGGAATTTGATAAAGGGAAAACTTTTTCTTCTCATAATATTAGACATTTAGATATTTTCCATTGGCTATATTTGTTTTTGTATAAGAAACTTTCCTTACCTGTTTTGAAAGGCAAGTGTTGAGATACTTTAAATTCCTTTGGCGCTGCTTGGGTAGAATCACTCACTTTCAGACCTAATTGGAAAGAAATAATGAATTATTATTTAATATTGATTATTTGAGACTAAATTATTACTATTAATTTCCATTAGAAGTGCCCTTGGGAATATTTTGCATCATTGTAAGAAATAATGCTTTATAAAGAGAACAAATTTACAAACAAATTATTCTGTAAAGTTCATGCATAAAGTTTAAAAGTCAGGCTCAAAGTATCATATATGTAAAGTTTTCAACAAACAAAAATAAATCTGCTAGGGATTGAGTGTTCTCACCAATCAATTCCCTAACAATCTGTTGTTGAGGCTGAGAAAGTTTCCAGAACAGAATGAACTGCAGTAAAAAGACGAATTGGCAAAACAAACAAACAAAAAAACTGTCTGCTTTGTAGATCAAAGCTTGTTAGATTCCATTTCATTCTGAAACAGAAAGGTTCCTTTCACAGTGCAAACTATATTCATCAATGACACAATGTAAAATAAAGTATTCAAAGCACATTAAAATAATTTACATTATACAGATGCATAATTTATTTTAACAGGAATGAAAAAGTAACAGCAATAAAAAGAGAAATCATACAAAAGCAATATTAGCAGTAAATTTGGAATTGATGACTATAACCCAAATAATTTCTTGGGCAAGCAAAGGCAGAACTAATAATGAAACTTTTTGCATCTATAACAACTTATTTACCATAATTATAACTCATATGTCTTCCAAATTAGCCCTCTGTATGTGTTTGAATAAACTATAAACACAACAAGCAAACAATAATCAGTAGGCATTATAGATTTTCTTAAAAATTTGACCCTTTTTGATAATAAGAGAATACAGATTGGATACAACACATAATGTTGAGTGAGGTTAGCGTTAGTATTGTCCCTGGATTGTTCCAAAGCGTCATGGAACAACTTTTGCAGGGGATACCAGGAGTCATCCCGTTCAGGGATTCACCCCACAAACCAAAAAATTAAAGTCATTCAGAACGTTCACACACCACGAAACCTGACCAAGCTCCAAGCGTTCCTTGGACTACTTAATTTCTACAGCATTTTCCTTAAGCAGAAAGCCACAGTTGCTG